GGCGGCGGTTGTACTCCACGCGGCGTTCCGGGTCACGGAGGATCTGTTTCTGGACGAGGACGAGGTCACCGACGGCGGGTTACAATCGGTCGTCGGAGCTAGGTTTTGAGCTATTTTTGTTTTTTAAAAAAATTTATTTTTTTGGGGATTTTCTTTTTTATTTGGAATTGGTGACAAGAGCATCTTTTTCGTCTATAAACTAAAATTAGAGCACAATTAGTATTGTATTGTTTTCTTTTCTTGTTATATGGTTTTGTTTCTGTGTCTGGTTTTATCTCATAATTTCAGTAGAAAAATTTTAATGATGGGACAATATTTTAAATTTGTCCTTTTGAAATTTGAATGTGTTTGATGAGAATGTTTCGTTTATAAACGTAGAAGCAAAAACAGAGCAGCCAAGAAATGCAGCAGCACAAAACTTACCTAAGCTTATGTTGCAATGGGCCCTTTGTTATAGATGTATTTGTTTTACAGGGAGATGGCTACGGTCCCGTTACGGTCGTAATTTGTAATCGTTAGATCAATTATCCTCGACGGTTACATGATGATCTAACGGTTACAAATCGTGACGGAATGGTTTCGTAACGGGACCATAATAACTTCTTCATTTGCATTATTTTACGGGATAGTTTTATGGTTTAATGATTAATTAGTTTTTATATCATGTGTTCATAGCTTTCTTGATAATAATAATAATACCAACCAATATTTTCATACAAAAAAAACAAAAAGGTTTGTCCAAAACCAAAAGAAACAAAACAAGAGAAGTAATCAACACAAGCTTTACACAAACTATAAGTGATAATTGTTGTGAGCAAAACTTGGTTCCCATTCACCACGAAGTGCACTGCACTATAATGTGGCAAAAGAAAGTATATGATGGAGCAAAATTCTAAAGAAGCACCTCAAACAAATTGCATTTTCCATCAAAGACTTGGATCATGGCAGATTCGCACGGTCGAACAAATGTGGTTTTCGCTTGCGAAGTACAACCTTCGTCGAAACATTGTTACAACATAAAAACCAAAACTGCAAAAACAACATCTAAGAAAAACCTAACAGAGATTATCAAATGTGGTTTTCGCTTGCGAAGTACAACCTTTGAAACATTGTTACAACAGAAAAACCAAAACTGCAAAAACAACATCTAAGAAAAACCTAACAGAGATTATAAAAGTCCCGTGAAAAAAAGGAGAAAATATAAAAGAAAAAGGGATTGACGAGCATTTCAAGAATCGGGAACTTTGCGTGAATAGCCCAATACCATCACAAACTCTTTTGCCGATGACCCAACTGTGGCCGCCACTCTATCAGTGGTCGTAGTTTGAAGCCACATATCAATCAAATTATTTAGAGGCATTGTGGGGACTGCCTTCTGACCCATACACTTGATTTCGACCTATAACAATAATTCGAATATTAAAATTTTGACAAGAAATTGGATATAAATGAATATAAATTGTTTGTAATTTGTGATAATGGTAATAGAAATCACTTCTCGTCAAGCAGAGTGATTGAAAAAACTTACCTCATCTTCACTCGTAAGATTTAACTTCATCTTGAGGTACTTCTGAACAAAGGAAACTGGTATGTTCCTATCCCTGTCAAGGATGCAACGAACATCAATGTATATTATAATTAATATTCCGATAAACTATCTTGTGATTCTTTTCCCTCCAAGAAAAGAAAGAAAAAAGTGATTCCTTTATTTTTCAAAGTTTCTACTCATTCCACCTGGATCAAGAAATGGGTTGTCCCCTAAAGCACACTACTGAATGTCCAATCCACAAAAAAGAGTAAAGATCGATTAACACATTTAACGTTTTTTTTTTTCTCCCTCAAGTAAAAGTAGGATTCACTGAGACTGCAACTTCATGAAAAAGGCTCTACGAGAGATGGAGCATCATGGAAGGCCAAAAGTATTTCACCAACTCAAGTCCATGCCAAGTAATTTTTTATCGGAAACTAAAAGGATCAAAGAGAACCAAAAAGGGTGGACGCGAAAGCCAAATTTTAAAACAGCATAGTTGCCAGTGTAGCTCAGGAAAGTTCATCAAATGAAAAGTCGAGATAGATATATTCATTTCTGCAGCTCATCCTCAAATCAGTTTGTCTTCTCAATGATAATCAGCTGCAAGTTTCTTTCTTTTTTTTTTTAACTTCTTTTTTTCCTGCGATTAAATATTTATTTTACCGGGCAGCTACTAACAAACAGTTTTCATATAAAGTCTCCTCTAGTGTCAAAATATTACAATTGAATACGCTATAACTTGAAAAGAACGATATATAGAACTTGGATCAATTTATAGGTTAGCGTGTAAGGTTGCGTACACTTAATATTTAGCCTGACAAGCAACTTTGTAAATGCAAATATGAATACACTAGAAAATCATGCAAAATCATGCAACACAGTAAATCACTTGCAATCAGGCAACTATACCTAGTAGAAAGAGTGACTAACTCGTATCTTTTCTACTACTAGATTTTGCTAATTGATTCGTATCAGTATACATTTAACAACAATTGGTTTCATTCAACAAATATCACCAATTAATGTAACATGTACCCTTGTAAGCACTTAACTCCATTCAAAATAAAACCAGGCCAACCAAATTCATAATCAGTAATGATAGCTCGTACCAAATTACAGTACACAGTATCCATTTTTTTACCATTTCCAAGTTTATGAAAATAGAAAAATCCTAACGTAGAAGTCTTAGTTAGCCAGAACTCACTTTATTCTCAAATAATTCGCAGGAATTTGAGGCAAGGACAGTGCACTCCCTTCCCTGAAAATACATCACCCAAAAAAAAAGCGGAGAGATATGAAAAACATGCATATTTACTCATACCTATCAATGTCGCCATAACCGGGTAGAAAACAAAACTTACTTTTCATCTGAGACCAGTGAAAACCAAATCGGATAATTTTTACGCTCTGATTTTACACTGGCGGCATCAAGCACAGCCTGTTGTGTAACCTTAGATCCTCCAAAAGTTTGCACCTTTTTTTGACGGGCTCTCTGCCTCTTCTTGGGCCTTTCGGGCTCTGTACAAGTTTGATCCACGACATCTTTATCTTCCTGAGCTTTTGCTTTCTGTCTGTGCTCTCTACTTTTGGATTTACTGACAAGCCCCTCGCTTTCACAAGCTTCCGATTTACCACTAGACCCTTGAACATTAAGCTTCGACGACTTGGTACTGCTTGCTGCTTCTACTAAACAGTTCAAAGGCTTCCAAAGGTCAACTTTCTCTTCTTCCCGAGCCCCCGATAGATCCTCTCTCTTTGAATCAGGACTGTGCTTAGTCGGCGGCTCACCAGAAGCAGAGCTCTGCAAAGAATAATACGGTTAAAGCATTGAAAGCTGGTTTTATTGAAGCATGCACAATGTTATATGAGTCCATGTATGCACTAATTTGTGAAATGTTAGTCACTAGTGGAAAAAAATTAAAAACAAAAAAAAAAAGGAAAAGGAAAAAGAAGGGGGAAAAAGTTCTGTGTTTTTTGTGTTTGCAAATACTAGCTTTTGCCTCCACCACATACAAACGTAACTTTGTTTTGACTATTACACACAACAAAGCAATGCTCTCTCATTCGCTAAAAGAACTAGCAAGTTCCAATTTTTCAACTACTAGCAATAAAACTGGTTCTTCCCAAAAAAATTGTGTACATTATACACTCACCTGAGTAATGTTCTGAATGAATCTCCTCATTTTGTCGGGAGAGCCGGAGCTCTCGGGCTGCTCGTCCATGGAGTCATCTCCCCTCCTCACAGATCTCTCGATCGTGAAGCTCGTGCCCCTCGACGAAGCCTTTCTTGCAGTGGACTTTGACCTTCTGCCGGTGAACCCACTTTGTGAAGAGACAAGTGGGGTGCTGAGCCCCAAAGATGAGAGAGACATTTCCTTTCTCTTTGCAGGAAGTGTGACAGGTGGCACGACATCTGGGGCCTTCGCATTTATTCTCTTATAAGGGAATATTTTCGCCCTCACTTCTTGGAGAGTATGATCAGACCTGATTAAGACAAAAACATAAAAATTTAGAACATCAGACAAATTTTCTACAGAGTTTCTCAAGCACCGTTTTGGAAGTGTGTGTGTGTGTGTGTGTGTGTGAGAGAGAGAGAGAGAGAGAGAGAGAGAGAGTTTCTCAAGGTTTATTTGCAAATTTAGCCTTGTAAGTATAAGGTCCCTTCTTCATAACTATAAGTATACGATGTAGCAAATTTGGTCTCTTGAGTATTATAATGACGTGGATTTTAGGTTTGCACTGCACAAGTTTTGATTTTTGTGCAGTTTGGGTCCTGTAAGTTCCAGATTTGTGCAACGGTAGGGCCAAAATGACAAAATGTTGAAGTACCAGGACCAATATGTTACAAAATCAGAACTTACGAGATCAAAATTGATGAAAAAAGTATATCGGATATGTTGGTATGTGTACTAAGATTGCACATTTATGCTTTCCTCAGTCACTCCGGATTAAAAGATACAGAACTGACAAAATATGAGATTAAAAAAAAAGGTAATAAAAGTACATCCACCTCAGCTTCTCCAACGGAGCACAACCCAAATCAATGTCACATATCGGGCAGCATTCCATCTCCTCATCTAATAGTTTCTTGTATATACATTTTTTGCAAACTGCAGGATATCCATAGAATCAAGTTAAGGATCATCATCACATAATAAGAAAAA